TTTTTTTTAATCAACCATCATTTTATGAAACAAGGTTGGAATTATAGCACACACTTTTAAAAAAAATATTACAAAGTCATAAGGAAACAGGACAGACTGAATGTAAGGTTGGAAAAAAATGGAGAAAATAGATCTGCTATCCCCATTGCAAAATTTTTGTCCGTGCTTTCCCTTGTTAATCTTTAATTGGAATTGTCATCTTATTTCTTCTTGTTCAGAAGAAGGAAAGGAGTTCTAGGGAATGCAGTCATTAATCATGTCGTTCTGCTTTCCCAGGAATGCCCTAATCATTAGGGCCTAATGATTTTCTGAGTCATTGGTTTCAACCATCAATGTCGGCCCTTCCGTAAGTCCTCTAGCTTGTTTCTTTAAGATCTGGAATCTCTTCCAGATATCTGAGAAAGACATAACTCCGACCATTGGCGAGAAGACCCAGGACTGCTCTCTCTACCTTCCAAGACATTAACGGCCATTTTTCACACAATCTCCTCTTTATTCACCCTGTTCTTTACAGAACAATCTTGTAACTTACCATCTGGACACAGGAGTCGCTTGCCAGCAAACTGTACATCAGAACGCCAGACCTAACAAGTGAAAAAAAATGAGGTGGAATGGGACAATGGAACTCAGTACAGATAGTCCTTGACTTACAAACAGTTCATTTAGTGACTGTTCAAAGTTACAACGCCGCTGAAAAAAATGTGACTTATGATTGTTTTTCACAGTTACGACCTTTGCAGCATCCCCACAATCATGTGACCAAACTTCAGGTGCTTGGCAACTGGTTCGTATTTATGACCGTTGCTGTGTCCCAAGATCCCCTTTTGCGACCTTCTGACGAGCAGTCAACAAGAAAGCCAGATTCCCTTAACAACCGGGTTACTAACTTATCAACTGCTGTGATTCACTTAACAACTGAGATAAGAATGATCGTAAAATGGGGCAAAACTCACTTAACAAATGTTTGACTTAACCACAGAAATTTTGGGCTCACTTGTGGTCGTAAGTCGAGGACTACCTGCATTGTGATGAAGTGTGTTAATGTGCACCTCTGTGCTCCTGTTGAACTGGCATTTTATTCTTATCAATTTGTCGGCTAATTTGCAGATATAAGTAGTCCTCGGCTTACGACTACAACAATGATAAAAAATAACTTCGCAATCAGTCCTTGCATTATGACTTTCACAGTGTCTCTCTGCTCTTATTTTCACTTGCTTATTCACCCCATATCGAGATGTCCCCAAAGAGGAAGAACCCCGATTCAACTGAAGGGCGTAGCCAGAAGCAAAGGAAAACTGATCATAAAATCATAACAAAAATTGTAAAATCCGGGTCATGTGATTTTCACTTAGCGACTGCTTTGCTCAACAGCCAAGTTGCCAGGCCCAATTCCTCACTAAACAAGAACTACCTTTAATTGACTCCCTAGGGTAAAACCATACACATTTCACGAAGGAATTGTAAAGGTAAATGTTCCCCTCACACATACGTGCCAGTCATTTCCTGCTCTAGGGGGTGGTGCTCATCTCCGTTACAAAGCCGAAGATCCAGCGCTATCCAAAGACGTCTCCGTGGTCATATGGCCGGCATGACTAAACCCCGAAGGTGCACAGAACGCTGTTACCTTCCCACCAAAGGGGTCCCTATTTTTCTACTTGCATTTTTTACATGCTTTCAAACTGCTAGGTTGGCAGAAGCTGGGACAAGTAACGGGAGCTCACTCCGATACCCAGTGCTAGGGATTCTAACTGCCAAACTGCCGACCTTTCTGATAGACAAGCTCAGCGTCTTAGCCACTGAGACACCCCATCCCTAAAAGGAATTATTCCTCCCTTAATTAACTGCTAAGAAAAGGAATAACGGAAGCTAGTCCTTACCAGCACACAACTTCTCAAGACCGTCCAAGGAAGAATGAGATTCATTTCACCCAAGGCAGATCCCCCTGTCTGCAAAACATAATCTTGAATTAAATCCAGGATACGTCCTTCGGCTACCATCCAGGTCAAATACAACGTAATTTTTTTAGGCTTTCCTCACTCAACATTCATGATTGAGTTATTTCTGGAAACTACCCCAAATTCCTCCTCTTGAGACCGGCAGTCGCTTACATGCGTGATGGTATAGACAGCGGGTTCAGGTTGACACTGGCTTGAAGATACCGGCTGGCATAAGCTGGAACTGAAAGAAGCCGCTGTGCGAGAACGGAAGTTTAAGTGAAGTTGCAAAAATTTCACATGGAGAGATACATTCCAGGTAGCATCTAGAAAGAAAGAACAAAGTCAGTTGTGTTCATTCTTCAGCCAATGCCCTATTATCTCCAATCTTTTGAGGAGAAATATGTTACCGTATATATGATAAATGTACTGACAATAAGTATGAGCCACGGCGGCGCAGTGGTTAGAGTGCAGTACTTCAGGCTACTTCTGCTGACTGCCAGCTGACTGCAATTTGGCAGTTCAATCTTGACCGGCTCAAAGTTGACTCAGCCTTCCATCCTTCCGAGGTGGGTAAAATGAAGCAATAGGATGACTCTATAAACCGCTTAGAGAGGGCTGTAAAGCACTGAGTCTAAGTGCTATCGCTATTGCTAAGTGTTATTGCTATTGTATTGCTATTCACAATACATTGAGAAAAATAAGATCTTATAAGTTTGAAATTTACCCTTTTTTGATCCAACACTTCTATACTTTCTTCCATTAGCAATTTTCCTGGAGGTAACATCTGAGCTAGTGCTACCCATTTTTCTGAAAACATTAATTACTTTCTGCTATTATTCAGTTATTATACTGTACATACAGTATGCATCTTGAAGACCAAAAGGTCTTTTAAAGCAAATAAATAAACCTTCAGTTTATATCCCTTAAAGTTTCATGTCAAAGACAACTATCAGATGTTAAGATTCAAATGTTAATCTTCCTGCTTAGCTTCCTACCACTGGATTCAGATTACAAAATACTATTCCATTATTGCAACTTGCAGCATACCACAGACCCATGTGCCCCTACACTGGTTGTGGTATGTACAAAATCGACAGACCTGTAGCATGACCCCATTTACAAGGTTCTCTATTTTTTCCTTTTAACCAAGATTGGACAGAAATCCCAGAACATTGTCTTAATTTGTTAGACTGCACCTTGGAAGCTGTGGTTGTGGTTAAATAAAAATTGTCTCTATTAATTATTGCAAAAAGTTACTTAGGAATAAACTCTTTTGAGTTGCTCTCGGCATTTGCAAAGGAAACTTGATCAGAACATAGACTAGAGATAATCAAAGAAAATCCAGATAGTAGCAGGTTACAAAACAATGATTTGTTTCCCTATAGGAATCATAAAAGTTCATTAGTACCAATTGTGAAGATACGATGCTCATTAAGAGGTTATTCAGAAGAAGAGTACAAAGAGATTGACAAAAATAAAGGTTTGCATTGTGACTTTACTCAAGTACCTGTCTGGTGTGGGCACTCAGTGTGGCTGGTGTTCATATAAGAAAACTAAAAACAAAAAAGATAAATTGTTGAGTTATGACTCATCATGTAAAACCCTGCTGTTAATATTTAACACTTAAGAATATTTAAGTCCCCCAACCTTGTACCTTTCTTCATTAAACTAGAATGAGGAACTGCCCTAAATCAAAGGACTGAACTATAGTAAATATTTTAGTTATTGCTTCAAGGCTGAAGCCTGACTATCTAACTTGATTTTAAAGACTTCCAGAAATGAAGATTTACTAAAATTTATGGGGGGGGGGGGATCTGTAATTCAACCAAGAATAATACAATTCTTTTAAAAATTAAACTCTTTTAAAAATTCTTTTAAAAATTCTTTTAAAAATTCTTTTAAAAATTCTTTTAAAAATTCTTTTAAAAATT